TGAGTCGTCAACTGCTTAGCAGCCTCCACGATCTCGACATCAAATCCTTTCCGTTTGAGTTCAATCGCGGTCGCCAACCCACCATAGCCAGCACCCACGACGAGAATCTTGCCCCGGGAACCAGGGCCATTGGTTTCAACTTTGTTGTTGACTGCCATCTCAATGGTACATGTCGCCTCTACCGCCTGTTTGACAAGTTGTGCAGGAACAAGAGTGGCTGAGTGGAAGTAAATGAGCAATCCAGAACCTGACCTAAGGTCGTCGATAAACTTGATGGAGCGACCTGAAGCGGGTTAGGCGAAAGATCATTTCTGAACGCATCCAGTGCGCGTTGGCGAGCGGGACGGCTTCTTCGGCGCTCCAAATACCGGAGAGGAGTTGACTCCCCATGCCGTTCGTTCTCGGTCGCCCTTTCAGTGCCGGCCTCTACCGAAATGCTGTGGTCTTTCTGTGGAACGCTTCCTCAGCTGCCAGGACGGTCAGTGTATCAGGATGGCCCCTAGTGGAGACCATGCGGACTATATTGTGACTTGTCTTTGCTTTTCGCCAAACAAGCCCTAAGCCAATTACAGAGTTAACATATCTGAGCATGAACTTATGAATTGCATTGGAACAATTGCCTTAGCCTTGTGTCGTGGTTTGAATTGCGTATCCAGTTCAGGTAGGATGTGAAGACTTTGCAAAATCTATAAGCTACAAGTTCGTGCAGTTGGAGGATACATTCTTCCGACCTTCCAAGGACTGACACAACAAATATGAGCGCGAGGTCAGGACAAGGCCACACCTCGTATCGTGCCCCAAGACATGCATCTTTCTTGTCGCGCATGTCATTGCTCTTCATTCTTCTTGTACACAGCCCCGCGAACCTTCTCTCGGAAATCAGAAACCTGGGCGGCTTATCAAAACCTCGTTGCCGAAGAGCCACTCGTAATCCTGTCCCGCCTACGATCAGTTAACCAAAATGGATTTTGACCTTGAGATCAACCCGTGCTCAAGATCAATCAGGATGAGTATTTTTCTGGACGTTGGTCCACCCTGGTTCACCATCTTCGCCGCGAAGGAAGGCGCGTCGGCGACGGCATCGAAACTCTCCAACAAGGTCAAGCAGATGCTTGCGTCGTCACAGATTACCCTCAAGATCTCAAATGTCACTTTCATGGCCTTTGCTGTTTCCTTGAAACCATCCACGATTTGCTTTCGACCGGTAAAAATCTGAGCAGGAGGATATTCCACCACGGCATCCTCCGTATAGTACTCACCGACCGCCTCAAATCGCCCAGCATTGAACCCGGCAATGAGAGCGTCGACGGCCGCTCGCTGAGTGTCGCTTCCCCCGAGACGTCGAATGGGTGGGGAGAGATTTGCGGCGGTGCCGTACATCTCCTCGACATGGACAATGCGGCTGTGCTCGTTCAAAGTGTAGAGCACAAAGGCTCGTGTCTGTCGTTTTTGTCATCACTTGACTGTAACCGTCGCGAGTCACGAGGAACTATGGCTCACGGTTCTCATGTCGCCCGGTTGAACCGGGCCGTAGGCGAAATCAAGCCATTCGACGCAAGAGTGGAAAACGATGACGAGGTCCACAAAGAGCTTCTGTTGGCCGCGAAGGATCTCTCGCGGCTGAATACATTCTCTCACACGATGATACTAGACCCGGGACGTCAGTCAAACGGCTTGAGAACTGGAGAAGGACGTGTACGAAATTAAGTGCACTCAGAAATTCCTCCTTTGTTTGGTATGTCTTGTCCTCAAAGGGCGTCGTGAAGGTAAAAGGGAAGGAGAAGAATGTGGATACAAGCAGCTCATCATTCCCAGTGTTGAAAATTCGTGCGTACTCTCGGTAATCGTCCATGCTTCTGGCGAGCCAGGAGAAGGACCTACTGGTTCCATCTCGCAAGCAGACTACATTGGGGACCATTATACTGCCGATATCTTTTTCGTACGAGGTCCTGGAAGTCGGACTCGCCATGCCCTTCGACCTCCGAACGGCCCGGTCCAACTTGGGAAGACCTCGCCCATCAAACTCTCCTTTCTGCAGTCCCCGTAGTTTAGTTTGTCTCTTACAAGCTACCAGTGCTGTACGACTGGTAAACGTCGAGAGGAATGAGTCATGGAACATGTAGACGCAATAGATCGGTTACTGACTATTTGTTGCTGTCATATAGACCCCTTGCCTTTGTCGACTACCCAACAGTTGACACTTGACGCGAAGACTGCGCTCTAGCGCTCGACTGACTCCTTCATCTTTACGTCGCAGTTTCTGATATATAAAAATATCCTCCGACTTCCTCCGACGGGAAATGTGCCAGTATCATTCAATGATCTTGGCCCCTTCAGACCGGGAAAGTGGGATTTCATCAGGAAGGAAAGTTTCTACATACACACGTCATGACTGTTGATTTCTCACGCAGGAAGCATGTATGCTCTTTCCAAGTATATAGGTCAAAGAGACAGGTCGAAACATTGAGAATGTAACAATACTTCTCCGTGGGCTTCATAAAATCCGAATCCCTTACTCGAGCAGCTCACTACTTCGGTTCTCGATAAGAAGAACTGCCAATCGTCAGCCACTTCCTCAGATCTTGCTCTTCCTTCTTGCGTCCGAGAAGTGCGATGCCATGTTGCCGGCCATAAGTCTCTTTCCGCCGTCGACGGTGATGTCCTGGCCATTCACGTAGCTGCCGGCGGGTGAGCATAGATAAATTGCCACACCAGCAATATCGCCGGGGATCCCTAGGCGGCCCATGGGGTTGTCTCGCGCCGCTTCTGCTTCGCCACCAAACGCCTCGATCGCCGGGTTCGCCAGCCGTGTGGGAAACCACCCAGGCGCAATAACATTCGTAGTTATGTTCTTTGCCACGAGTTCCATCGCAAGATTCCTCCCCAAGTGGTGTGCCGCAGCTTTTGACGCATTGTAGGCAATCGCGCCCGAGGCACCGACGTGGAGAACGGCAATGCCACCGACCGAGCTCACGATGATGACCCTGGCGGGATCGTCATATGTGCCTCCTGCGGCAAGAAAAGGTATCATCCTATATTTCAAGGCTATTAGTACTGGCGAAATACCATAGCTTTTTATACGTTCTGAAAAGCATCTCACTCGGGTGGATGACAAATGCATACTTTCGGGTCACATTGAAGACAGCTCGGACGTTGACATCAAAGATCTTCTGATACTTCCAGTCCTCGAAGTCTTCGAATGGCCCGCCCCAACTGGCCCCGGCATTGTTGACGAGGATGTGGAGTTTCCCATTGGGCAACTCCTTCTTCAGGTCCTGAAGCAGCGTGTCGATCCCATCCATACTGCTTAGGTTTGCGACGATATAACTCGCCCGGCCTGCGATGTCGGAGATAGCGTTGAGCTGAGCTATGGCGTCTTTGAGCATTGCTTCTTTTCGGGCTGTAAGGACCACTTTCAGCGCACCCGCTTGGAGGAAAGCGGCGGCGATGTAGAGCCCAATACCCCTCGATCCTGCCATTAGACGACATTAGCGTTTCCTTTCTCAATCCAGAGCTGTGACCTACCACCAGTGATCAAGGCGACTTTGCCGTCGAGGCGGAACAGAGAACTGAAGTTTGGTATCTCGACCATGGCTGCTATAATAGAACTGCCAGCGCTCGTGTCATTATCTTTTCAGAGCTCAAGTGCAATTTTGTTGTCATGGAGCGAGCTGTGCTTCTCGGCGAGCTGCTAGGTATTTTGTAGGATGTTGCTTCTGATATAGTGAATGTATGCAGGAGACGGCCAGGCATGCCAACCCAAGATAAAACACAAAAGCCTTGGATGAATCCCCGCTTTGAAAATACTCGCAAGGCTAGCGCATACTCCTTGCAATAGAAATGGAGCCCATTTAAGGTACTCCATAATTCTTTCTCTCTAACCACATTCGTTCGGGCCGGGCCGTTGCCTGCCAAATTTGACCGTTCCGACCCAAAGGGAAATGCTCCCAAGAGTCTCTGATCATTGCGAAGCGGTAGACAATCTCGCTCAGGTAGTATTGTCGGCCCTTGACTGCGAACTGTCAGCGACTAATCATCGAGAAGTCACGCAAACCTCTCAGCTCCTCTGCCACTGGTGCAGTTTGCTTGCAGGCTTCAAGAGCACGACGATTTCACCAGCATTGGAAATTTCAATCCAGACTCTCATTGATTCCACGCGGCCGTCGGTAAGCGAAAGATGGTGGCTGACTTTGACAAACCGGCCGCCAGGGTCATCTCGCCCAGCAAGCTGGCGCACGTCGTTCTCCGCACGAACAACTTCGAGGCCATGGTGAACTTCTACCAGGACTTTCTGGGCGCCGACGTCATCTACCAGAACGACTTTCTGGCGTTTCTGACGTACGACGACGAGCACCACCGGGTGGCCATCGCCGCCGTTCCCGGGACCAAGGCGAAGGACGCCGGCACGTGCGGCCTGGAGCACATCGCGTTCACCTTCAACACGCTGGAAGACCTGCTCCTGGCGTATCGCCAGCGCAAGCAGAAGGGCATGGAGCCCCTGTGGCCCGTCAACCACGGGCCAACCACGTCCATCTACTACCGCGACCCCGACGGGAACATGATCGAGACACAGACGGACAACTTCGACTCCCCCAACGAAGCCACGGACTTTATGCGTTCAAAGTACTACGACGAGAACCCCATAGGTACGGACGTCGACCCGGAGGAGCTGATTGAGGGGTTGAGAAAGGGGGTGAGCGAGAAAGTCTTGAAGAAAAGGGTTGAGATTGGCCCACGTGGACTTCCTACGCTGGCATAGAGCTATAGTCAGCACCACGATATCGAGGAATGGGTAAGGCCGCAAGGGCCGGTCTCAGATGGACTGGGACTTTCCACGGAGGCAGAAATGTCGATTTCGAAACAAGGCTTCAATATCCATAATGTTACATTGGACCTCTACATGGAAGTGACGTTTTCGTCATTGATCCCCGGTCAAAAAACCTCAGAGGCTATTTTCGTACAAGTCAAATATTTCGTCTTTATAGTCCGACCCGAGGCCGTCAAGGGTCGTGGAGCGGCAGGAAGGTTGTCCAGTGATCCAGCTCGAAATCGAACATATTTGAATAGCTCTGTAAATGCCAAACGTCATCAGCCACGCGTTTCAAGGGCAGAGAATGATACTCACGCTGTCCAATGGGCTTCCTATCGTGTCGCGTTCCGCTTCGCCTGACCGTACAACGTTTTTCTCCTGAATAACGCCAAATTCGTTATAATCGGTGGGCTGACCAAAGGACGGCTGCGGAAAGGCCTTGTGGTTTTTGACGGCCTGTCGCGCCAGAGCGGCGACCTCCTTTGCAAAGACAATCGGGACTTCGGACTCCGTCGCGAACTCGAGACGAGCAAAGTGCCCCGCCCCGACTTCCAACAGAGCGAGGTCGGTCGGAACGGTGGGTAGATCGGGGTTCTGCAGGATGTGGATGAAAAGGTTGATGAATGCGTATATCGGCGTCTGGAACGCCAGCCTTCGCCATGTCAGATGCTGAAACAGGAACTATCAGGCCGCGGTGCGAGTGACAGGCAGGACTTACAGAACTGGAGTACTAGCGTCGATGCGGATGGATTGAGTGGTGAGCATCGTCGCGCGAACCGTTCGCGCCACAATCTCCGTCGACTTCTGAACCTGGGCGTGGATTGTTGGATGCTGTCTCAGGTGTGACCATGGATTTGTGAGAGCAGTGTGGATATCTAGAGTAGTGTTAAAGTACGTGAGCCGAACGAAGCACGCCTGTTGAAGACTCATATGTAACGGTAGGTTGGCGTTCTCAAGTGGGATTTCTGGGTTGACTAAATCCTGGAGAGATTTTTCGGTCTCGACGTGCTGCGCGTGCAATTTTTCCACCGTATCAGCCAAGACATCGGGCGATTTATTCCAGTTCTGGACGTTTGAGAATACTCTCGCAACACGAGAAGTCATCTGGGCCAGCTTGACAAGACTGGTGGGATACTGTATACTCGCAGGAGCCCCAGCAGGGGCGACCGTCGGAATTTGACAGCTAATCTCGTCATCGTTGATAGCCTACGCACGATGGTCAGCGCATGCCGGATGGAAGCGAAAGACACCGCAAGCATTCACCAACCGAAGGACGTCCTGCACGACAGCAACAGTTCTTTTCAAGACAGTAAATTGCCCAGAAGAGCCAATTTCTATGACATTGTTCCGACGAGCTGAGATCCCAAGAGGGAACGGGCTGGCGGTGAAGACCTTTCGAGTATGCCAGCCGAGCCGCATTGGTGACGAGCATATATTCCAGACAAGGACTTCCAATACATTCTGTATAGTACGCCTAGAAGAGCTTGTGAGACGGCTTGATTGTAGCACTTGCCAAATGCGGGTGCTTACCATGACAGTAAGAGCTTGCACAGCGAGAAGGGAAGTGCGGAAGTAGAGTAGTTCCGTGTGTACCGCCAGAGCATTTTCGAAGTAGGACCACGCAGTTCGATAAGCCTCACGGAAATTGGCTCGCCTTGACAGCTCAAGACGGCATCCAACGGCATAGACGGCATTGCGCAGAGCGTACCAGGCCGGATCCTCGTCAATACCGGGGTTGTTGAGTTGGTTCTGAAGCCGAGCATTAAACCAGCTCTTGTCAACCACTCCAAAGACGGCATCGGGTGCCCTTTCGAAGTAGGCTAGCCGATTGCGTGAGCAAGCTTTTCGGCAACTTCAGAGTCACTGTCCCTACCTTGGGCATATTTCCACGCAACAGACGCAGGTGGTTCCGGCGTTCGTTCCTTCGACAATTTTTTCTCGATCTTGAGTCGGCGAGTGACGTCTCGTGTCAAAGTACCAGCCGCATCATGGAAAGTGGAAGTTCCAATCTTCTGAGAAACCCACTGGATACCAGGTTTCGAACAGATCGAGAGAAATGATCTCGGTCCTGATCACAGGTTAGCCGTGGGTGATATCGCATTTGTCGGTATTGTAACACACCATGATACTCCCAGTTTGACTGTACGACAATTTAGCCTCAGACCACCAGTAGCGTAACCAGTAGCGACTTACGCTCTCGCAAGAATAGACGCTATTAACTTCCTGTTTCTCGCTTGGACTGCTGTTTGACGAGACCATTGGATTGGTTTGATAGTCTGGTGGAGGTATATCTGGCTGAAGGACACCAATCTGATCTGGAATCAAAGCCTCTGGAGCCTCTGATACGTTCATTGGACGTAGCGCCATAGTGCTGTCCTGAGTGAAGTCCATATCAGGGATTGATGTTTCACGGTGGGACGCAGATGGCTGGACAGTACAAGTGTTTCCGCATTCGATATTCGGGACCAGTCGCTCACCAACGTTGGTCGGAGAGGTCAGATTGGGTACGGACAGGCTCTCCTCCCTCCCTGCCTTATTGAAAGTCTGCGCCAAAAATTGACTGTGAGGGGACGCTGTAGACGATTCTCTAGGAGCAAGATCGGCATCCTCGACTACATTGGTAGTTCTTTGGAATGCGACGTCGAGCGGGCGCAGAAACTCGGGCATCTGGGGAGAGTTGGCACGCTCGGATTCAGCGGCCTGAAGTAATGCTTCGACTCGCGCCAAGCGCTGTGCCATGTCTCTGTTCGCCGCATCCTTGTTGTTGAGACGAGCACGCCTTCTTGAGGCTGAAACGCATACTTCTCCATGATCCAAGCAGTTGCTGCAGGGGATGCCGCCATTGCCTGTGCGCTGTTAGCAAGAACGAAGGTACTTTTCCGAGCATGGCAAGGGCGGCTTACAGCGAACCTTTTTCATCCTGCAGAAATTGCAGGCGATCGAGCGCTTTGCCCTCGTGGGTTTCGGCAGCGGATTTTCCTTTTCAGGATTCATACTCAAGACTTCAAAATGCATTGGGGGCAGTCTCTTCGTCTGAGAATGGAGGAATATTGACAGAGACAAGTACCAGGAGATGTCGGCTTGGTGCAGTTCAAAATTAATCGAGACCTGTAACGAAGTAGCTGCAGCTGCAGGAGAAGATGAGAACCCAGAGAAGGGAGCGGGGGTGCAAGCAGCTGCTGTGTAACTTGTGGCCTCTGAGCCCTTCCGGGATCCGGGGAAGCGGGGACGCGGGGATTGACGCTAGGAGAGTCATGCAGTCAGACACGCCCACGATTATTAGCCAGGTCCCTGCAGTCGATGAGTCGCTTGGGCCTAACCGAGTCATGCAGCTGTCCTTGGTCATGAATCTTATGGCAAAGGACTTCTGGATCCAGGAACCTACCTGTTATCTGCATGTTGCGACCAGCAATTTGACAGCCATTCGTATTAACGATGCGGTATTGGTCTTTCTTTGAGGGAGGATGTATGTTACTGAATAATTCTTTGCTCATCTCTCACGGGTGGAGTGGACGACTACCTATCATCAGGATGGCAAAGGCCGGCGTTGAGCATAATTCCGAACCCTTTGGGAAATCCGAGTGCTTGTCCACAACCTCACTTAACCTGCCAACCCTGGTCACCAAGTCGAGTCGGTCGAGTCAGCCATTCCGGAGATCGTGCAGGTTGTGCCGCTCGTTAGTGATGGTGCACTCTACTTTCATCCTGAATTAAACCCCTCCTTGCCGATCCAGATGGACAGCAATTGTGACTCTGACCGACATGAAGAGCTGCATATCAGAGAAACCATGGGTCCTCTCAGAGGGGCCTTCTTATTTGGTTGGCCCACCGGGCAAATCCCGAGAGACAGAGACCCACGCGGGCACGGACGAGTGCCAAACTCCTCACCGGTATCTGAACGCCGATGTCGTGTCGATAGAAGTGTTGTTCCTGGAGTCTTTCAGCTTCGACAAACAGTGCCTTGGGCGTTTCGAGGACCTTCGTGTTGCCATAAGTGGTCCGAGGAGAGAAGAAGGAATTCCTTTGATTTGGAAGAACCCATGCGAGGCTGTGCTCAGTAGCACCAAGGTCATTCCATTACTTCTCAAACCCCTTTGACTCTGAACTCAGTCGCTCGATCTTCAAGTGCATGCCACCCTCTGGTCTCAGACTGACTGCCCCCCTTTCGAACTTTAAAGGGACATTTGCTGGATCGTTGAAAGTAAAGGTCCTCAATAGGTGGATCATGATTGTCTTGAATTCGAGTATTGCAAACGACTTGCCAATGCAGACGCGAGGTCCGTTCAGGAAGGAGCCCCATGCATAAGAATCTTGCGCTTCTTCAGGGAGGCCAATCTCCCATCGATCGGGATTAAAGTCTTCGACCGTTGTCCCCCAGATTCTGGGATTATGGTGGATGACGGCGGGGACTATGTGGACCAGAGTGCCTTGGGGCACAAGCACGCCGTCAACGACGACGTCTTCTGCCGCCTCTCTATGGGCAATAATCCCTGGAGAGAATAACAAGTTAGTCTAAAGGCCAACGCGCCATCGAGACCGGCTCTGCATACCAGGGGCATAATAACGAAAGAGTTCGCTCGTGAAATTCCTCAGATATGTGGACTTTTCAATCCCCGCAGCATCCAATTGAGCGTTGGGCGGGTAGTGCTCCAGAATCTCCTTGCGGAGCCGGGCTTGGATTTCTGGATGGTGGGCCAGAACATACAAGGCCAACGTGAGACTCCCCGCACTCGTTTCGTGGCCTTTTAGACTTGCCCGTCAGTCTAGGGAAAGCTGATAACCGCTTGCACTGAACTTACCGGCAGCCATGAAGTTGAGCAACTATATCAGTGTAAGTCTGAATCATAACGAGAAAGGATGGAAAACAGAAGGGCTTACATGACCTAACATCTCGTCTTCGTCCCAGATTTCTGCTCCTGTGCCTCTTTCCTTGATCATGATCGACAAAACATCCTTACCATTGGAAGACTCTTTGTCCTGCCCCTCCAATTCAACTTTTCGCTGTCGAATATGTTGTCGCAATAGCCGCCTGATCGTTGCATTTGCGTTCAGGTAGTCTCTATTTGTCTTGATGGGGATCAAAGAGCGGATAGGAAGGTAGATGTTGAGAGCGCTCATGATCGCGGACCATGCAGTATTCTCAAAGACCTTTTCGTAGGCCATGGCGAACTCGGAAGGCGAGGACAGATTGTTCATTTGGATTCCTAAACAAGCCAGCCCGATGATGTCGAGCGCCGTCTTCGAAAACAGAGAACTCACTGGGTTCGCTTAGCGACGAGGACAAGCTTGATCGATCATCTTTACAGCATACCTTCGATAAGGTCGTTGGGTCTACTGTCCGCGAGCGTTTCGATCAAAGAAGCTAATTCTTGTGCCTTTGTGTCGAAAAAAGGCAGCAGCCCCTTTATGGTACCATATGAGAATGGTACTATAGCGGGAGATCTTGGTGAGTCCCTGTACCTGAACGTAGAGCTTGAAGACGTACCGGTGAGCAGTCTCCTCTGCCTTTTATGTGCCTCTCCCTCCTCGAAAAAGAGACCGGTCCCAATGATCTCACCAAGAACGCGCCTCATAAAGCTGGGCTTGACGAATTTGTAGCATTGAGTTTGAAGGACATCTCTCGTGGCTTTCACACTATTCAATAAGATCCCTTCACTGTTGCCGACACTGAGGAAGCGAATTACTGGAGCATCCGGGAACTGTCTCATCCAGGACAGATGCGCCTCAGCTGGGCCTGAATTGAAGAAGTTGTACGCCTGGCCAATCAAGAAATGATCATTCTGCGTAGGGAAGTTAGGCCACCAAGAAAGTCCCTAGGTCGACATGGCAAACACTGACCGTGGGCCCAGGCAGGTGGCGCAAAGGAGAGAGATATCTCGGCACAATATAGATTCTGTAGAATTTCAGAACAAAATACTGTGCCAGACAAAGGATTAACAAAATCACAGCTGTCGGATCAAGTTGATGGAAGTTTTTGAGCAAATAGACTTCTCCCGCCGTTATCGTAGCGCAGCTGAGGACATCCATACTCCAGGTCCCAGCGTAGGTTCCTTGTAGCACTCGTCCTTGTTCTTTCTGCGTTTCACGGTGAGGGAGGTTTTGATTTACAGACCGCAAACAACAACAGTCTCCTTCGGCGATTTGACTCGGGCACTTGCCTTAATTAGCCGGCTATTAAATCTCGCGGGCGGCTGATCGTTTGCGAACTAGCACTCGATAGGTCGGAATATCGGCTTTCTCTGGGAAGTTTTTGGAGTTATGCTACCTATAAGGAGGACAAGGGGCTGGCTTGTCCAATTCCTGTTTCAACACCAAGCTAGCAGCTAGCCCATCTCCTGGCCCCGCGTCGGGCTTCCAACCGTACACCTGCAGACAGACAGTTATCTCCAAGTCCAACCCATCGAAAGTCATGGGTAGTTTAGCTTCAGACAGGCTCGAGAAGATCGAGTACAACCGCAAACTCGCCTACAAAATCTGCGAGACATGGTCCGTCCCCAAGGGTGGAGATGTTGACCCATTCTTCGATCTTTTCCACGACGATGCCAGCTTTACCACGATGGCGCAGAAAGGCATGCTGCCGCGTCTGGCCGGGACGCTTGACAAGAAGGGCTTTCGTGATTGGGTGTACCATGAGTCCCGGATCACAGACCTGTCGGTAAAAGTGGAAGGCATTACTGCGGACGAGAATCGCCTAGCACTCGAGGCGAGCTCAAATATGAATGTCAATGGTAACTCGTACAATAATTACTACCATTGGCTCTTTGAGATTCAAGACGGCAAGATATCTGCGGCAAGGTTCTATCTCGATACGCTCTTCGCGAAGAAGGCGATGGAGTGGATGGAGGAATCGGCGGCAAGAGAAAATCAGTCATGAGCGACGCACTGGATGCCACTTGACCCGATGGATGTGTACTGGATAATTGTTCCAAGTGGTGTACATGACTAGGAGACAGACAATATCTAGGTATTGCAACTCAAATATACCGAAGCAGTCCTGGAAGTGGCCTAAACCGTTTCGTCTGCAGCCGTCTGCAGCAGTGAAAAGCCCCAACCTGGCGCAGAAATGACATTGCGGAGTGCGAAAGGGCTCAGCAAATCCCATGGCGACTGCTCTACTCTGCCCCACAAGCAAGAAACATTAGACAAGACTATACAGCATTTGCGCGGTAAAGTAAACCTTGTACTCGAAGATCGATTGACACTGGCAACACAGTCCTCCACAGAGATCAGCCCGTTGAGTACAACTTAACCTACCAGTCTATTCTCCCATGGGGAGGCCCTGGAAATGGGCCCATATCTCGAATTGAGCCGGCAAGATTGCTATCCAGATGTCATGAAGGATCAGCAATATGAGACCGCAGAGGAAAAGAATCCACGGAAGACAGCACCACAATTGAATTCACCAGGCCTTTCGAGAATAGGCCTCTTTTAACAATAGATATCGCGTATATGACCAGACGTTGCGGATCCGAACGTCTAACCAAACGACAAGGCCCTATCATATAATGAGAAAGGGGGCGCTGCCCGGAAATGAGTGCTACTGAGAGCTTTGGAATCCTCTAAGCCTCTTAATCTAGTCGCCGGAAAAGGATAGTCGCTCGATTCCAGCGTCTACGGCCTCGGGGGTGGGTCAGGCACATCTACCGTTTCGGGTAGAGGTCAACGGATGACCGTATCCACTTTGCTACTACTCTTTCCCTCTCGGAAGCTGCCGTTCTCGGTTTTGGAGGAAACTGAGCCTGGGACGGATATACTCATTCGGGCAAAATTCTAAAGTCAGAAAGGGGACATTGGATCCGAAATCAAGCTCCATTTCACCCAGAGCTCGCCTTTTCACCACGAAAGCGATATATTCACTTGGAGCCGTCTGACGCCCCTTGCGCATGACCTTGATTGAGTGAGACCATGGTAAATGCCTGGGAGAGGTAGACCAAGCTCACGCTATATCGAGAGGCCACAAGCGGCGCGTTAACTCTGGAAGACCATCTGAAATACCTACAGAAAGGAGTGCCACTGCACAAAAACGTCACCACCAGTGGAAAAGAATTCGGTGGGAGATGTGTGATTGGCGAGGGCTGAGGAGGTTAGACTAAAACCCTAGAGGCTTCACTGCATGTCCGGCAATCAAACCGCCATCGACTGGAACCGTCACGCCGTTGACTTGTTTCGCGGCGTCGGAGAGTAAGAACGCCGTCACATCTGCGATGTCTCGTGGCACGCCGCATCTCCGAGTGGGTGTTATTGACGCCGCCCACGCTCGATCAATCCTAGCATCCAGCAGAGGTGTGTCCACGTAGCCCGGGCATATCACGTTGACCCGGACATGATCAGGTCCAGCCTCCACAGCCGCGGTCGAGGTTAGACTGATGCAACCTGCCTTCGACGCCGAGTAGATGCCCAGATATGGCGTTGCTCGGAGCCCGCATATACTGGAGATGTTGACGATGGAGCCTCCCCCTCGCCTCTTCATCGCCGCGACTTCATACTTTAGGCAGTATGCGATCCCGGTCAAGTTGACTGCGATGACGTTCTGGAAGTCCTGAGGCTGCAGGTCTTCGAGCGATCCCAAAGGGCCCTGGATTCCAGCTGCATTGACCGCCAAATCAAGGCCCCCGAACTTTTCTTCCGTAAACTTGATGGCTTCCTCAACCGACTTCGAATCTCCTTGGTTCAGGTGGAATGGGAGCACGGAGTCACCCAGTGACTTCGCGTTCTTCTCCGCCAGCTCCCACTGAATATCCCCCATAACGACCTTTGCGCCTTCTTGTGCCAACAGTTCCACGGTGGCAAGGCCCATGCCAGAGGCACCGCCAGTGACGAAAGCGACTTTTCCGTCAAATCTGCCCATATTTGGTAATTGATGGTGTCAGGGCTTACTGCTCCTATTGGTAGCAGTGGTTGGATCCAGTAGTCCTTGTTATTCGACCCTGCAAAAAGAGCTCGAGCAACAATATTAGTTACTTATCCTCGTTTTCGGCAATGTTCACCTTTCTGGCCGGAGCGAACAGCTTGTTTCGGCGTGGAAATAAGTTGCTGTACCTGGGTATGCCCAAATTTGAAGGCGGTAATCTTGGGCCACAACAAGAAAGAGGCTCACCGTGCATCTTCATTTGTCAATTTCCTGTCCACAATACCGCCCCATTTGCGGGAGGTTGGTCCTAGTACCGGGTAGAGAGGGTTGGCTACCCTACAAACAGTAAGCGGCACCTGCCTACGTATAGAAGAGAAAGCGGGTCCGGGCTGGGAGACACCTGTTTCAGTATGTCTAGGGTTCGGCCTCTGATCCGGCGACAGAGCGACTGCTAAACGACAGATTTAGAATATCCGGTGGTATTAGGGGGCATATCCGCTCTGGCGGCGCTTCTGCATTCATCATCTTGGCCCTCGAATGCGGATTCATGGCTCGGCTACACAAGGCAATATCGAGGCATTTCGAGGGGTTTGATCATCTCCACCTTAACCATGAAAGTAAATAATTTGTGCCTAACAATCATGCTGTTACGCCCGGAGCGGAGCGTTTAGCCCGGAGCCTCAAGCGGTGGTTAAAATCCGAGACCCGAAACCAAATATCGTAGTCACCAGAACAGGTCAGATCACGACAACTACCGCCGGCAAGCATCAGGTTTTTCTGCCTTGAAATATCACAAAGTGGACTGGAATCATCCCAATTCCCCAGCATCACAGGTATCAATGTTTGACGACGTGAAAAGTAAGAAGGGTCGCTCGGAATGGCATTATTTGGTACGAGATCTGCGTGTTCAAGGATCGTGGGGCTAATCTGGCATCTTGCTGTCTACCCAGGATGACCTGACGACTCTCGATAACCTGCACTCAACTTTGCCCTTTCCTCTGAGTGCCTACCACAAACCGGAACTGAGGAAGGAAGAAGAAGAGATTTTCGAGCATTATCGAAATTGGATGGAATTTAACGACAATAGATTCGCGACAAACCCAGAAGAAGGCGCCGAATTCTACGACGGTGCGCAAGTCTTGTACTATGACTTGATGGGCCTCATTCCACGTATGTCGCCTTGCAGGCTTTTCGGTGTCTCTTTGCACTACACTACTAACAATCCAAGGCGGCGCGTTCGTGGATCACTTTTACCATATTGGGCGTGAGTAACTTCATGGAGCAAGCTGAAACAACGCGACAGACAGTTTTGACGGCGTGAATCTCCTTTTAGCATACTTCGCAAAGTCTCACATCGGTTACAAAGACATGGAAATCATTGCGACTGCTCCGGACTTTGGGTTTTGCAACATGGAACAGGTTGGTCCAGTCGGCATTGGGTTCTGAGAAGCTCCCACTGACACTCCTCCCGAGCATTACTACGGCGTCAGCACAGATGGACATAACTTTGACTTCAAGTTCCGCTATACCGGTCTTCTGCGGAAAAGAGAAGGGGTCTGGAAGTGGATCCAGGAACACGTCTCGTTTCCAGCCAACATCGCGACTCAAAAGGCCGATTTCACTTGCAGTCAAGACGCGGGGGAGCATCTGAGGATGCAGGACGAGGACAACAAGACCAGAGATGAGCTCAACACCCAGAAAAAGCCAACGGCCCAACAACTCTGAGTGCTTGAGGGTACAATCCACTTGAGTGGTAATTTGGATAGAGCCAGCATCGAGACTGTCCAGCATCGACTTGACTAAGTGACAGTATTTGCATTTGCTCTCCATTGCACTTCTTGGATCTGATCAACACTCCTCCTGGCCTCAGGCCTGCATTGCCTTTATCCAAGGGGCACTATCCTTTGTCTTCTGTCAATGCTACTCTGGAGACATTCCATTATTGGGAACGACAATGGATCAACTTACACCCCAGACCTTGTACAGAGTACCTTTCGGGTTCGTCGAGGTATCTCCTTGAAAGTGAATCTGTGCAATGAACTCGGTCACCACTTCGTTGCCGTTCTTGAGTCCCGCAGTGAGCCGGCCAATGAGCACCAGATCACTGTAGTCCTGCTTGCCTGGATAGACCTGCAGTACCTCGTGCTTGCGGGAGCTGATGGTGTCCCAAGCGGTTTCCCGGCTTTGCTTGATGGCTTCGAGCCGGAGAATTAGTCCTATTGGATGATGACTTTGGAAGTAACAAGCTTGCTGACCTTCGGATCCTTCGGCTTTGCCGTGCATGCCAAAGACAGTGGCGTCGGGAGCGTACAGTGCTGCTAGTTGTTCTCCAGAGCCAGGGCTCTTCGAGTCAACCGTCGTGAAAAGATGCTCAAGCCAGTCTCTCAGTGCAAGCGGCACCGGAAGATCGGGTGGCCAGATGGTATTTGCTAGAGCCATCTCGGTGTGCGTAATTTTGAAGCTCAGTGCTCACCATATAACTCCGCGTAGGTCCTGAAACTATGGGAACGTTGATATCTGAGCCAGAAGCCGCACTTCTCCTATGTATGTACGTACCAAGGATAGCCATACCTGTAGAGGGGAGCTTTAACAGGATTCCAACAGCTGCGCGTCTCAATTGAATTCTCGGCCCGCAGAACCACTTCACTCCCTGGTTGGGCGAATGGAAGTCGACCGTCCAAAATTGACCGGCCCGAAATGTATTCAGTCGCATTCCTGACTTCAATTCCTTGAGCAGTCTTTGCCCAGAAAGGTGAGTATGTAGTTACTGCTCTTCTGGTCAATCACCTGTCTCTCATCCCCCTAGAGCCGCAAAGCTGTGGGCACCTCAGCCGAGTTCGTCAAGGCAGCTTCTCGTTGAAATTGTGGGTGTGTGGACATCCATGGACGCCCCGTCTCCGGAATCGAGCAATCTCCACGCCAACGGGGAAGAGGTTGTGGAAACCCTTGACGACAGGACCATCTTGATCGCCGGGGGAGGGCCCGTTGGCCTTCTCGTAGCATCAGTACTGGCACACTATGGC